AGAACATTATGAGAAGTCTTCATAGAACATCATGAGAAATCTTAATTGATCATTATGAGATGTCTTCATAGAACATTATGAGAAGTCTTCATAGAACATCATGAGATGTCTTTGTAGAACATTATGAGAAGTCTTCATAGAACATCATGAGAAGTCTTTGTAGAACATTATGAGAAGTCTTCATAGAACATCATGAGAAGTCTTTGTAGAACATTATGAGAAGTCTTCATAGAACGTTATGAGAAGTCTTCATAGAACATCATGAGAAGTCTTCATAGAACATTATGAGAAGTCTTTGTAGAACATTATGAGAGGTATTCATAGAACATTATGAGAAGTCTTCATAGAACATCATGAGAAGTCTTCATAGAACATTATGAGTCTTCATAGAACATCATGCGAAGTCTTTGTAGAACATTATGATAAGTCTTCATAGGACATTATGAGAAGTCTTCATAGAACATTATGAGAAGTCTTCATAGAACATCATGAGAAATCTTCATAGAACATCATGAGAAGTCTTTGTAGAACATTATGAGAAGTCTTCATAGAACATCATGAGAAGTCTTCATAGAACATTATGAGTCTTCATAGAACATCATGCGAAGTCTTTGTAGAACATTATGATAAGTCTTCATAGGACATTATGAGAAGTCTTCATAGAACATTATGAGAAGTCTTCATAGAACATCATGAGAAATCTTCATAGAACATCATGAGAAGTCTTTGTAGAACATTATGAGAAGTCTTCATAGAACATTATGAGAAATCTTCATAGAACATTATGAGAAGTCTTCATAGAACATCATGAGAAATCTTCATAGAACATCATGAGATGTCTTTGTAGAACATTATGAGAAGTCTTCATAGAACATCATGAGAAGTCTTTGTAGAACATTATGAGAAGTCTTCATAGAACATCATGAGAAGTCTTTGTAGAACATTATGAGAAGTCTTCATAGAACGTTATGAGAAGTCTTCATAGAACATCATGAGAAGTCTTCATAGAACATTATGAGAAGTCTTCATAGAACATCATGAGAAGTCTTTGTAGAACATTATGAGAAGTCTTCATAGAACGTTATGAGAAGTCTTCATAGAACATCATGAGAAGTCTTTGTAGAACATTATGAGAAGTCTTCATAGAACATTATGAGAAGTCTTCATAGAACATTATGAGAAGTCTTCATAGAACATCATGAGAAGTCTTTGTAGAACATTATGAGAAGTCTTTCATAGAACATCATGAGAAGTCTTTGTAGAACATTATGAGAAGTCTTCATAGAACATTATGAGAAGTCTTTGTAGAACATTATGAGTCTTCATAGAACATCATGAGAAGTCTTTGTAGAACATTATGAGAAGTCTTCATAGGACATTATGAGACGTCTTCATAGAACTTCATGAGAAATCTTCATAGAACATTATGAGATGTCTTCATAGAACATTATGAGATGTCTTCATAGAACTTCATGAGAAATCTTCATAGAACATTCTGAGATGTCTTCATAGAACATCATGAGAAGTCTTTGTAGAACATTATGAGATGTCTTCATAGAACATTATGAGATGTCTTCATAGAACATTAGGAGCAGTCTTCACCATGAGAAGTCTTCATAGAACATTAGGAGCAGTCTTCACCATGAGAAGTCTTCATAGAACATTAGGAGAAGTCTTCACCATGAGAAGTCTTCATAGAACGCAGGCCTGGGGGATCCAACTTGATCTGTGTATGCAGTGAAATTACTCTAATGTTTCTTTGTAGCTTCTGAGCAGCAGATGAGCCTCCTGCTGAACTTGATGAGCCTGAACTGTGCAATGAGGAGGCCACGGACGGGTAGAGAGGATATCAGAGTGTTTGCTCAGAAGTGGGTGTAGTAAAGGAGTAACATTAGTGAAGAACAGTCTACGAAGCTCATTGATTCAGGACAACTTGGAGGCTTCCATGTTAATGTGCACAGAGAAGGAAATCCTCACGTATACAAGCAGAGCTGCTCAGGCGCCTACTGATGCTGTAGATGCTTTCGCAATGTAACTGAGTTAAACATTAGTTCAATATGCCTCTTTGTTGAAGAGTGGGATATGTTTATAATGCTTTGTTTATTTATTTCTGCTTTTGTTCATTTATCAACGTATCCTTGTGGAATACTTTTGTTAACTTCTCAGCTTAAGTGGATTATTATTTAACCATAACATTATTTGTCTAACCATGGTATTAATAAAAAAAACCTAAACTACAGGATAGTAAGAGCTGAACTCTTGCTTTGTTTATCCAATTTCCACTTCCATGGAAAAAGTGTGCCGGTCTTGGACCTGAAAAGTGTCCCCACTGCGGCCCTGATAGGACCTCATGAGACGTCTTCACAGAAGATCACGTCCTCGGTCAGAGTGTTTGAAGACTCTCAGAGCCCTTTTTACGGGACTTTCCAGAAGAGGACCCTGTGTTTAATTTACTCACAAACATCATTTGCTTAAGATTAAATATTCCATAGAAACGCGTGAGAGGAAGACGAGACGTGACAGACCGCTCTATTTATGTTACTTATTGAAGCCGTTTTTACGTTTAAGGTAAATCTTTTTAATCAGGGTGTGAAACATCTTTAATCTTTTAAATTTGTAAGTAATCAGTTTGGTCAAATTGTTGATCACAATACTCAACTTTAAGTTTTAATGTGTGCGGCTGAGAGAAGTGGTCATCAAGGTACACAAGAGGGAGATGGAGATATAAACACTACGAAAGGATCAACAGACTGTGAAGTGATATTCTTTTATTCCTCCAACAGGCCTCACTGCTTCTCCTCAGACACCAACAGGAATACACCCGATGCTGTGTACAAGTACCACTGTGTAAAAGTACCACTGTGTACGAGTACAGCGGCTTCCTCACCCTCTTATTCAACACAGAGAAATAAATAAAACTTCTGTCAAGATGAGTCTTGAAAAAAGGGGAAATGAAAGATTAAAGGTGATGAGCTCCAGTCTGTTCTTGTTCCCTTTTAACTTCAATAAAACTTGATTTGTCACATTTTAAAATCTTCATAATTTCCATTTATATTTTTGAAACCAACACAAACTCTGCCTCCACAAAGGCTGAGGCAGTAAAGTGCACTTTGTGTTACAATAACTTAATAATATCTCCAATAAACAGTCAATCTGAGTCGATAGTGCCCCCTGCTGGCAGAGATGAGTCTGCGCTGGACGACACTGAGGACGGACGAGTCAAATTCATCTTCTGCTGCAGAATTCTTCCTCACAAAAACACTCTTCTTTTTGTTCAAATGCAAGTAGTTCAGTACAAAGCTGATATTTTAATGAGAAATGTGTCCATGTTAATTAGTGTATATTGTTAAACTACATTCATTCATTTGGTTTATTGCCATGACGACGATGATGATATTTCTTGAGTGAGTTGAGTGACTTGCTGTTCAGCTCAAAAACACATTTCTTATGAAATGGGAATTAAACTGATTCACTCAGCAAATATTCTTCTTAATGGTCTTTTTTTTCCACAAATTAAAACATTCAGATGTATTAAAATCAACAAAAACCTAAAAAATAAAATAAGTGTCAATCCCTTTTAGTCGAACGCCCAATCAAAAGGAGGCGGCGCCGCTCCTTGCCCCGCCTTCCTGCCTCAGTCTGTGGGAGTACTGGGAGCAGACCAGTGGAACCCCATCAGAGTAAAAGCGGGTGGAGGTCTATAAATACTGAAAGGTGAAAGCACCGCCTCTCATAAGTTGAAGGAGGAGTCGTGGTGGAGGGTCACGTGACCGACGATGCCTTCAGGGAACCGGCCGCTGAACAAAGCTGCAAGTTGGATTGGCCGAGGCCCCCCCCCCCCGAAACCCCCTCACTCGCTCTCCGTCTTCTCTGAACGACTTCTCTTGCCCGGCCTCACAGGAAGAAGTTTATTTTGGCGGGGACGGCCTTGCAGCCGGCGGTGGAGAAGTAGTGTCCCGGGACGGGGGCGTAGGTCATTCCGCCGGCCACCGCCTCCACCACGTCGCCGCGGCCGCAGCTGCCGCGCTGGCAGAGCTGCGCGCGGACGCAGCGCTCCACGTGGCGCCGGCTGAGCGGCAGGAAGGGCACGAAGCGCCCGACGAGCCGCTGGAGCACCACGGAGGACCGGAAGAATCCGCCTGGGGGGCAGACGGAAGGAAGGGCTTCGTTTACCACCCAGAGTCGCTGCTGTGCCGTTATGTCATTCTGATAAGATCAATGTGTTTGGAACAAATCAGACGAGCTGCGTCTGTCGGTTTAAAGTCGTCATTCTGCTGCTTTTTATTTCCTACCAAACTTCATTCTGCTGCTTTTTATTTCCTACCAAACTTCATCCTCCGGCTTGTTTTTGTACCTTAAAAGAGCTTCAACCACCATCAACTGCTATTATCCCATTTCATCTGTATTTTACTGATTCGACTCACTTCACCTCAAGCTGCATCTGATGTTATGAAAGAAGCTTCGTGAATAAATCTCTCCATCATTATTACATAATAACTGAATATCTTTGACTGTGCAAAGACTTAAATTCTTCAAAGTCATGAAAAAGAAAAGCGGGGAGAAACGTTCCCCGTTTACTAGGCGAGTTTGAACGGGTTCAGCTCCAGAGGACACTCACTAGTCGTGCTGTTGTAGATCGCCTGCGCGATGTCGTCCTGTAAGTCGGCCCACGTGATCTCCTCTCGGTCCCGACCAGCCTGCCGGCTCTCCAGAGCCTTTCTGTTGATCACCTCCTCTCCGGAGGTGCTGCAGGACCACACACACCATTAAACAGGTAATACGAGTTCATGATGTGGAGCAGCTTGCATCAAACATCCATTATTAAGAAGCATTCAGAGGAATACTTTAATCAAAGTCACTAATTAAAATCTGCAAACCTGCAGCCACGGTGAGATATTAAGTCTCATATAATATCAGACTTCAGAGGTCAGAGGTCAACCCCCATTGGTTGTATGAAGGGGACTGGCCCGTGTGGTCGGGGAGTGACTCGTGTTCACTTGTCTTTAGAATCACTGTAACCAGCTTTCAGGAGCTCAGATGGAAACAAAGCTTCTGTTTTTATTGGTGTGATTTGGATCATTCTAGAAAAACAGTTCGCCCAGTTCACCAGCAGGATGATTTGGTCTCTTTAATAAATGAAAGAAACAGATCCTTAGATCCAGTGTGTGTGTGTGTGTGTGTGTGTGTACCCGATGAAGACGTAGATGGCCTTGCGGTAGTTGGTGCGAAACACCACGTGTGAGGGACCCAGGAAGGGCTCCAGGACGTCGATGAGTCCCGGAGGCATCTTCTCCATCTCATCGAACAGGAAGACGGAGCGAGCGCACTCCGTCAGGTTTCCCTTCACCCAACTCTTCAGCTCCTCCTGTCAACAGCAAAGGGAGAGGGGCGGGGGGGGGCATGTAGTCCCGACAGCAGCTCCAAGGGAAACGAACAATACAATTTAAAGGGCCTAAATGGAGATTACCAACGCCCCCCCGACTCACCCTGTACTCCTGCACCCGGTCGGGACGGGGGAAGTGCAGCGTGGGGATGAACTGGTGGACGTAAGGGCTGCTCATGGCCGAGCCAAACAGATACTTTCCCAACATGGAGCTGACCAGCGTCTTCCCCGTCCCGGAGGAGCCATGGAAGGACAGCACCAGGGGTCGATCCGGGCTTTTATTTTGTAGGAACCTGGCTACCTCCTCTGACACGATGTCCTGGGCCAGAGGTTGCCCGAACACGTTCTTGTAGAGGTCCCACTCGAGGTCTGGTTGGCAGGAAAGGAGAGTTTCATGTTATCGACCATCAGCTCCACAACTTGCTTTTGCAGCACTAAGATTTAAAGTTCAGAAGTAGTGGAGTAAAAAGTACCTTTAAATATGTTTTTTTCCATTTTAATAACTTATTATTGTTATTCGTGTGGCACTTTCTATGGGTTTTTATTTATTGTTCTGTCATGTCTAACCTCTAAGATGTTGTACAAAAGTATAATATTCAAGTGTCTATTCAAAGATCATCAAATGATATAACGGTATTACATCATTTCCATTCACCACACTGAGTCACTTTAAACATTAGAAGAAGAACGCCGTCAACTGTTGAGCGAACGGACTTCCGGTGAGGCGCTAGCTAGCATAACAGCTAAGCAGGGATTACAACACTCCTCGGGGAAACGTTACACTAAAACCGCCAGCTGTAGTGTAACATACATGTGACATACATACATATCTCGCATACATATCTCGCAGTTACTGGAGAAACATACACACGATACTCTCTCTTCGAATTGTCACACCGGCTGGCTGTTAGCATGAAGCGGCGCCTGCTAGCCTGCTAGCTAACGTTAGCCACGCAGCGGCGGCGCCTTCTCACCTCTGATGTTCGGCTTGAAGTCGCACTCGCAGCTGTCCGACAAGCTGCAGTAAAGCCTCTGGAAAACGCCACTGACCGGGTTATACGGGTACAAGAGCAGCACCGACAGGACGGCCAGCATGTTGGCCGGGAGAAGAGCCGGAGGAATCGTCTCCATAGCGACCCGCGGTGAGCCCGTAGTTCTTCCGCCTCTCGGGAGCCCGTCCAGGGACACGTAACGAGGCGAGCGAGGGGACTACGTTTCCCAGCATGCATCTCCTGTCATGGGGCGTTACGCGTGTGGACGCGTTGGAAGAACACGGTCCACAAAGCAGTAAACACAACGTCTGGAAAGAAAAGTCCCGTTTTATTGTGTTACTGTTTATCCAACAGTTTATCATGAACATATGTTTGTTACACTGAATACAAAACATGTGTTATTAGTAAGTAATTCAACAAAAATAAACTTAGGTACACATTTGTAATAACTGGTCATTCAAAATCAAACGTATTGAGTATTGAGATGGTAAAAACTGAATATGAAGGTTTTTGCATGCTTTTGTTTTATTTATTTATCCATTCATGACACATCACCTTAGAGGGAATACACGCTTTTGAAAAACACTTAAGAAAGACGTGTTTTAATTAGGAGCGAACAAGTCTGTGGTCTTTGTGTTTTAAAGGTTGTCGCGATGTTCCTAACGCGTTTTCCTTCTCGCCATCCAGCACCAAGGGCCTCAGAGGACCGAAACAACCGTCTAGTTTTCTGGAAATAATTCCCACATTCCTTCTAAACAGTCTTGCGGGTGAATCGGTTTTAGTTAAGTCCGGGAAATAAGTAAATAAATTATTAACCTGGAACCTGGAATCAAACTGAAGTTCTGAACTGGATGAAGGCGTCAGCATCACTTTATTCACATGAGGAATCTATTCTGTTATTGTGTCAAACAATATGACACGTCGGCAGGTTGAGGGGACGGTCCGGCCTCCAGACACAGAGACATTTCTCGCACACGGAGGCTCAGCCTCATCGTCACCAAAACAAGAAAACAACTTCCGCTTTGGTTTCCACAGCACAAAAGCAAAAGAACCCGGTGCTGCACACGTACACAGAGGACTTCCATGTTCCATCCTGGTGCACAGTTGGATGGAGGAGGTCTTGGTAGCGGCGAGATCCGGTTCAGTTCTGACGCGTTAAAGTCTTCCGGTAAGGAACCAGGAGGATGGAAAATGACTTCACGGGCCGTTTGTGAGGAAACAAACCATCAAGTCAGACGTGCAGACCGTGAGCTCCGAGGCTCCTGGGGGTCCGCCCATCCGAACAGAGACAACAGAGAGAGGTCGGGGGGGTCAGCGCGGCCGCACCGGCGGCTCCAGCCGGTTGGACAAGGCGGTCAGCACCTGGTCGAACTTGGCGTGTCGCAGGGCCTGGCTCTCCTCGGCGCCCCTGCTCCCCCACAGCAGCCTCATCTGGAAGTCGGTCAGGAAGAGCTCCAGGACCTCCGGCTGCTCCGGGAAACCTGCGACGTCAACAACAACAACGATAAGGACCACGCCGCCGGGTGACACCAGAGACGTTGTGATCCGCGGGTCGCCACAGGGGGTCACCACAGGGGGGCGCCAGAGGGCGGAGCAGCCTATTCACTCAATGCAGCGGGAGCGGCCTCTCACCTTGGAGCTTGCTCTCGGCGTTGGAGCGGTAGACGCCCCCCAGCTGAGCGATGGTCCTGGCGGCCCCCAGGTGGAACATGACCACGTCCAGCCCGGCCTCCGCCGTCTCCCACGGCTCCGCCCACTCGCCCACCGTCACGCCCTTCTCCAGCAGGGAGAGGAGGGGCAGGACGTGGGGGAAGGTGGTGCCGGCCAGCGGGCAGCTCTCTGGGAGGGGGCGGAGACAAAAGGCGCGGTTGGCGTCTTTCATCGGAGAGGAGTTTGAGTGGCGAGCGGACACGTACCTCTGCCGTCGTTCAGGCTCTTCATGAAGGGCCTCAGCGTCTTCTCGTAGAGGATGGCGCCCTCGGTGTGGCGCTGCCGCAGCGCCGTCCAGGTCTGCTCCAGACGGGACACCTGAGGAGACGACCAAAGACCGTTTCTTCCTCTGCTCTTATAAAAGGAAACCATTTGTAGTCAACGTCACAAGCTGTGGCTCGTAACTCTCTTTCTGCCGCCTCACCTGCGGCAGCTCCAGCGCCCTCATGACGGCGGCGAAGCCGAACATGTCGCCCGTGGTGCCCTTCAGCTCCGCCGCGACCTGGATGATTTTGTGCAGCAGGCCGGCCCGCTCCTCGGTCGTCCCCGTGCAGCCCAACACGTCCACCGCCAGCGTGGTCGCCATGGTCTGGAACCTGCAGGAGGCCGGAGAGACGCGATCACACGGAGTCCTGCGAGGCTCCAGGGGGTCCGTTACGTTATCGGAGGAGCAATAACGCTCTGCGTCCCGCTCGCGTCTCACCCGCTCAACAAAAAACAGAACATTTGTAGAGATGATATTGACGGGCTGAAGCCCCCCGTTGTGTAAAGGTCACCGACCTCTCCAGCAGGTCCAGTCGCAGCCGCTGGCCGTGTGGCAGCGTGAGCAGCTCCATCCCAGAACTAACTCCCATCATCCTTTGCGCCTCGGGAGTCACCTCCAGAATTCTGGCCACCTGGGAAAACACAAACGAATATTCACTGCTGTCCCCCTGAATGTGTCTCTGTCCGTAGATAGAGACGCCCGGACCGTCCTCTCACAGCTGGACGGTCGGTGCCGCTCGTCTACCGCTTTACCGCTTCCTCCTCTGACGAGTCGTGAACTGCGTTGTTTCTGCTTCCGGCTGCACCTGAAAGGTCGTGTCCCCCCCCCCCCCACAGAGGGACCCCGTCAGACTGTACCCTGCAGTCAGCCGCCGTGATGTGCCTTGCCGCCGTGCGGGCGTCGACCTCGGCCAGCAGCTCCTTCACCCGCCGCAGGACCCCCGCCTCCAGGGGTCGGTTCTCCGCGGGCATCAGCGGCGAGCGGTACCTGCTCGGTGCGAAGGAGGAGGCCGTCTCCACCACCGGCGATTGGTACGCATTCCCGCCCTCCGCCCGCAGCCTCCCCACGTAGCTCCGGGGGCCGGGCTGCAGCTCCGTGTAGCAGCTCCCCGGGTCATCGGGGGGCGGGGCCTCCTGGCTCGGGCCGCGGCTCCTGGAGTCTGAGGCTACAAATGCAGAATATAAAAACTCTTGACGGGAAAATGTCATTTAGTTCTCGAGTAAAGTTGCTTGCGGGTGAAGCGCGTTTGGACGGGTGATTTATTGTTCTCGTGGTGAATCATTTGTGTAGTTTGCAGTCAGATAAGCAGGCGCTGAACCAACATGACGAAGATCATTTCATTTACTTTGTTTTTTTGTTCAGTTATTATTTAAATCAAATCCATTTTTTTAGCTCCCTGTCCTTCTTTTTTATTTTTTGTTTTAAAAACCAACGTTGACTTTTGCTGCTCGTGTTTAAAAAGCCCCTGAATAAGAAACGAAGTCCACGGGTCATTTCTTATCTCCGTACTACATCTGGTGGTCGTCCGGCTCTGCGTTGCGTAACCGACCTGCGACGCGCGGCCTGAACTTTGGCCCCGCGGTGACGCCGCGCTGCCGGAGCTCGGGCCAGTCGGCCGTCTGCTGCGAGGGAGGCTGCACGCGCGAGGGACCCGAGGACTGCGGACGCATCGGTGAGTGCAGAGCCGCGTCCGTGTCCCCGTGGTGGACGAGGCTGCAGCTCAACGCTGAGTACTTGCAGATGTTTGCTGGCGAGCGGGACGAGACACTCGGTCTTCTAACGCTGCGCGTTCCCCGGGTCGGCTTTGTTTAAAGACCAGACGATCAACAAAATGAGAATTCAAGCGAGAGCATTGTATTATTTTGTAGAAGGTTGTGTGTTCTCTCGGTCATACAGAGAACATTTGTCCCAGGTAGACTCCGAACTGAGTCCATCAGGGAGTCACAGCTTCTCACTCTTATTAGCACCATGTGTAGAAGCTTGTTTGACCTTTGTCCCACTGCATGGAAGACGGGCTGCTGTTTAAACCCTTTCATTGCTCCACACCCATCGGGAACACAAACAAAAGCTGTGAAACCTGAGCAGGGAACATCTTGTAAATCCCAAAGCGCTTGTAAACCTCCTGGGAATCAGTTCTCACACGTAGAGACTTGTGTAATCCGGAAATACCTGAAGTTATGTAAGTCTGAAGAGCAGAAAACCCTCATAGTGATGTGCGTCGCCTTTCTATCGACTGCTGAAGAGGTAAAATAACTTCTAGTACATAGAATGTTTAAGTAGGATATGTACACAGTATTTATGGCTACGTAGTAGAATTACTTTTGTGGTCTAAATGAAATAAGTAAGTAAATAAGATGCTAAACACGGGACTCTACGAGTCCCACATTCAACCAGGAGCTTCTGCACACACGTGTTGCTCTGTGTGCTTCTACTCTACTAAATCAGAGCCTGCAGGCAGAAAGCAGATGCTTTATTGCTGCCATGTGACTATTCTTATCTGGGTGCAAATAGAAAACGCTGGATATGTTTGCTGCTGTCCGCTCAGCGGCCAAAGTTAAAGTCGTAAACGCCATCCGTGCACCAGGCGACATGTCTCCATGTCCATTTAGACGTCTATCCAGTCTGATGCACCTGATTAGATAAGCCCCACGCGCCTTAAACGGACGTTGTCTTGCTTCTTTTTTGGATGCTCAAATGTCTCAAATGAGACGTCCCCTTGAAGGTTGTTAAGTCGATGCGAGCTCTTGAATCTAACGTCCTCGCGTCTCTCCCCAGAATCGTTTTCAGGGATGTACCGACCGGCCTTGGCGGCACTCGCGGTGCTGCTCTGCTCCTCACTCCCGGTGAACGGAGGGAAAATCTTAGTGGTCCCCGTGGACGGAAGCCACTGGATCAACATGAAAGTCCTCGTCGAGGAGCTCCACGCCAGAGGCCACGAGATCACAGTGATGAGGTCGTCCGACAGCTGGTACATCAAGCCCGAGTCCCCCCACTACCGGTCCATCACGGTAAACTCCTCTGCCGGGTTCGACGAGGAAGGCTTCGGGTTGTTTGTAGACACAATGATGAACATGCGGCGGAAAGGCGCCTCGCTCTGGGCTCGCATTTCTCTGGAGTTTGAACTGGTGGAGAAGTTCTATCAGATGAATAAAGAGGTGATTGAGATGGTGGGGAAGATGTTTGAGAACACCAAACTGATGCAGAGCCTCACCGACGCCAAATACGACCTGTTCCTGACGGACCCTGCCATCGGTGCGGGGGTGCTTCTGGGTCACCGCTTGGGTCTTCCTCTCGTCTTCAACGTGAGGTGGACTGTCCAGGGGGAGGGGCACCGTGCCATTGCGCCTTCGCCGCTGTCGTACGTCCCAATTCCAGGCGCAGAGCTGAGCGACAAGATGACGTTTCCCCAACGGGTCAAGAACCTGCTTTACTTTTTCTTCACCTGTTTCCAGACATGGTATGTCACGGATTCAAACTACAAGCCCTTCGTCCGCCGTTACTTCGGAGACGATGTGCATTACATGGAGCTGTTTCAGGCGGCGGACATCTGGCTGATGCGGAACGATTTCACCTTTGAGTTCCCGCGACCCACAATGCCCAACGTCGTCTACATGTCAGGATTCCAGTGCAAGCCCTCCAAGCCGCTGTCTAAAGAACTAGAGGACTTTGTCCAGAGCTCTGGTGAACACGGCGTCATCGTTATGACATTGGGAACCCTGGTGGCCAAACTTCCCGAGGACATCACGGAGGAAATCGCCGCCGCTTTCGCCCAACTTCCTCAGAAGGTGATTTGGAGGCACAAAGGCAAAAGACCCTCCACCATCGGCAACAACACCTTACTGCTGGACTGGCTGCCTCAAAACGACCTCCTGGGCCACCCAAAGACCAGAGTGTTCGTGGCCCACGGGGGTACCAACGGGATCCAGGAGGCCATCTACCACGGGGTGCCCCTGGTCGGCCTGCCCCTCATGTTCGACCAGCCGGACAACTTCTTCAGGATGAAGACGAGAGGCGTGGCCAAAGTCCTGGACATCGCGACCGTGAACAAAGAAAACTTCCTGGAGGCTCTGAAGGACGTACTGTACGATCCGACCTACATGGAGAAGATGAAGGTGCTGTCCGGCCTGCACCGCGACCAGCCCATGAAGCCGCTGGACCGGGCCATGTTCTGGATCGAGTTCGTCATGAGGCACAAGGGGGCGGCACACCTGAGGACGGACTCCTACAAGATGTCAACGATCCAGTACCACTCGATTGACGTGGTGGCGTTTCTGCTGGCGGTTATTCTGCTCGTATTTGCCGTTTTTGTTTGTGCAGTTATGTTTTTGTGGCGAAGAGTTTTCTCCGGAAGCAAAGTCAAAAAGGAATGAAGAATGAGCCGCTGGACAGTTAAATAGAAGAAAACACTCGAGTGTTCTTACATCAGTAACTTAACGTGCCTCAGTGTGTCGCTAAAAGGAATCACAAACCTTATATTACCCAACGATTTCAGCCCAGAGGTCCCGTTTACGTTGTTTTTGCTTGTTTTGTTTGTCGGATAGCAGAATACCTCAAACATCCGTAAATAATTTACAATGACATTTTGGTGTTGGGTCGGTGATCAGTTCTCATTCAATACACAGGAATATACCTTTTGCGGGCATTTAAAAAACACATAAATAATAATTCCTAATAACCACTGCACTCAATTTAATGGAATTAAATATGATTCATTTTATAAAAACAGTGCGACGTGTATCTTGTGATTATCTATGAAATTATTGAAAATGTTTCTACAAATGTGTGTTTTTGAAATAATGATTTCAGGCTGTAAATAAACAGTACCAAAATGATTTGTTGATGGGTTAGTTGATTGATTGATTGGTTTATTTTTGGAGTACTTTTACACACATTGAAGGATTATTTGTATGTGTTATCATATGCCACCGTATGTTGAGATATAATACGCTGTCATAAATTCCCATTTTGCTTTATTTGAGCTAAAATCCATTAAATCTATTTTTGAGGTGGAACCAAGTCACTGTTTCACACGTCCAAAATAAGTCTCCATAATTTGCACTGAAGTCCCAAGACCCACTACAGACACGTCCCGAATGATGTAACGATGTAATATTTGGTTCGGGGGAAGATATCAAGTTTCCTTCATAGCTGAACCATAACAGTTCACGCCCTCTGTAACCATCTGGGCACCAACTTGGCTTCCAAAGTAAAGCAGACCTTCCTAGTGAACTCAATGGGAGTGCTAACAATTTCATTTCATTGAATAATTCAACAGTGATATAAATTAATGCTAAAACTATTTGAGTGGTTCAGCGCGTCGCAGCAAAGAGGAGGAATAAGCTCACGGTGGATGTGCAGCGCAGAGAGCGAGGATCCTCCAGCAGACAGCTCGCTGACATCCGCCCCCCTCTGGTGGAGAGAGGAAGCACTGCATGCAGAGAGAGAGACGCTCAATGTAGAAAATAATGGGAAATGTAGACAGACAGTATAAGACATCACTCATCATAAATGCTGCATTTTATTCTCCTTCTGTACATCCTGCCGGTGAGACCTCACCTCCCCGGACGGACCTCCTCCTCGCTGCTCCCGCCCTTCAGCCCCCTGCGGCAGGACGGCGGGCTGACGGCGGCGCCGAACGCCGTCTCCAGGTATCCCAGCGGCAGCGTCCTGTTCACGGGCCGAAGGATCCGAGCGGCGCTCCACCGGCTCAGAGCCGCCCCGCTGCCGGCGAAGAAGCCGACCAGGTCCGGCAGGCAGTCGAAGGCCTCGGCCCCGAGGCCGTACCGGACCCCAGGGTCCGTCTCCGAGGACCGGACGGCCGCTGTCGCCGTGACGACGAAGTGAAGGGTCTTCTGCTCCCAGCGGACGGTGAGGACGAAGTCGCCCCGGCGGGACTGAGAGTCTCTGAGCAGGAAGTCGCCGTGGTTCACCACCAGGCTCTCGGACACCTGACGGGACGTGAAGGGGTTGATGTGGACCGAAGGAAGGTTGTCCAACTGGTGCAAACGTCTCAAGCGTCTCCCATGTTTAGGTTTAAATCATATCATGAAGAAATGATTCAAAGTATTTATTTTCCATTCACACAGGATGTGATCATCTTC